ATCTCCCTCCTACACTCCTCCTACTGCCACTGTAAGGCTCCTAGGAGCTCTTCCCTGCCCGTTATATAAGAACAAAACGTTTCACATCATTTCTGCATTATCTTTCATCCCTGAGGCTGCTGCAGTTGTCTTCTTCCTTGGTGCTGTGCTCTCTCTGGCATCGTAGCATTATATCCCAGAACTGGAATTAAAGTTCATTTTGCTGCTAGACCATAATGCTTCTGTCTACCACGCACCCCTTGGGCTTTGCAGAGGCTCATCTTGTCCCCAAGTCTTTTGTCTTCCTTCTTTTTCTCCTTCTTCCATACAGGCTGCACATGCAGTGCTTGTGGCAGGGGCTGGCTAGGGTAGAGGGTGTCCGTGTTGGGTCACTCACAGCTGGGCACCCCCGCGGCTCTCTGCTTTATAAAAGTAGTCTCAATAAATGTGTGTGGGTTGCATTTGCTCAGCAAAGTCAGTCATTGTGCTCTGTGCCTCCTCCTGGCTTTACAGGAGGACGTGTGTCTAATCTGAGACTGCGGTGAACTCAGCGGGAGTTCAGGGAGCTGAGGCTGTGGGAGGGAGGTGGCAGAGGGGGATGAGCTTGTTACCAAAAACATCCAACATTCCTGGCAAAAGGCACAGGAGAAAAGGCAGTGCCTGCTTCTGGAGGGACCAGGGAGCTCTGGGGACCAGCTGTGCTGTGAATTGTTTGTCTCAAGCAGCCCCACACCTCCCAGTCTGCCTCACGTGCTGCGTGCCCCGGGCTGGCTCTAAAACATGATGGATGAGGAGCTGCTCAGCTTTGCATTTCCAGTGTAGGTAACAGCGTTATCCCGAGAGAAATGTCTTCATGTTGCTCTATCAGTGCCTGCAGCCACCAGCTGAAAAGCAGAGAGGGGAAGGAGGCACCTTCTGCTGTGTTTCCTCCTGCAGACCTCTGTAGGACTCCTGGCAGCGAAGAGAACAGGGTACGAGCACACCCTGGGGTAGATCCCCTTCCTTAAGAGCCACAACTGAAGATCTCATCTTCTCATAACCTCTCCCCCCAACTCCTCTGTGAGTTACCCAAACAAGAGCTCAGATTTGTCCTTAAGCTCCTTGGTGCCTCCACCTTGGTGGGATGGCAGTGTCCCCTTGAGGACCTGACTACAAACCCACAAGACCAGCAAGGCTGCTTGAAATAACAAAGATATCTGGTTCCTCTGCAAATCAGCTCGTGGGTGGCTCAGAAGAGGCTGAGGATGGCTCTGCTGCACGCAGTGAACTCAGAAGTGAGCCACCAGGCAGAAAGAACAGCTCAAAAGTGCTTCCCTGGGCAACGCTTTTATTTCCAGGAGATCCTGCTGCTGCAGCCGCCACCCCTGCGGTGCCCGGGTGCTGCTGGGGTTGGGGCAGGCCAGGCAGGCTGCTCAGTCTGATCCCTTCCCACTCAAGGAAAGACATGGGCTCGGCTCCCCGAGCTCCCCTGCATTAATTGCTTGTTTGCTAGGCTACCCTTCTTCCCTGGGAGGCTGGAGAAGCTCCTGAGCCATGCCACAAACCCCGCACCGAGCCGTGTCACCAGCTGTGCAGTGTTACACCCGTGCTGTATAGACACCCCGAGGACGTAATAAACAGCCTGAGACTATTTGTTCTCTGCCTGAGTGTCTGAAAAGCTGCAATCCTGGGCATGGAGGGGTGTCTCCCAGCCAAATTGCTGAGGAGGAAGAGGAGGGGAGAGCTCTTTGTCCTCCCCTGGTGCAGACATGCTGGATGGGGCAGCAGAGTGGGGATGGGTTGGCTCCAAGCTGTTGATGGCTCAGTTGGAGCAATTTAGAACCAGGCTCCCCAGAGGTTCAATTTGGGAGAGATGAGTCCCAAATGAGTCAGTAGGACCTGCAAGGAAGAGGAATCCCAAGAGCCTTCCAGCAGCACACTACTGTTCTTCTCTGAGTACACCTCCCTGCTGCCCGTGATGGACTCCCTGCCCCAAATCCCAAAACCATCATGGCCAGAGGTGGAAACAAGTGCTGAGCCTGCTCCCTGCACCAGGAACAGCGGGGGGAGGGTGGGGGGGATGACACACAAGCTCCTGGGAAAGGGAGCAGTGGGGATGGATCGAGCACGATGAGGTCACGAAGAGCAAACAGCAGATAAGAGCTTTCTCCAGACCATGAAAAGCCACCCTGTGCTCCAGCAGGCAGCTCACGCCTGGGCCTCAGCTTACCCATACTGGTGGGATAAACCAGGGAGGGATGAGCAGGAGAGTACGAAGCCAGTCACGGGTCAGTTTGGGGAGCCTGGAGGGGGCTGAGATTGCTGGGGAAGGGTCAGGCAGCAATGAGGGCAATCCTGGGTAGCAAGGGGGAAAGGGGAGGCATTAGCAGGGGCAGGGAACAGGGCGCTTGATGTGATGTTAGGTGTTAGTGGGAAATTGCATGGTGAGAGATTGTCTTGGTTTGAAAAGACAGGTGGAGAGAATACACACCCCCAAACCATATCCTACAACCCAGGACAGAGATTTATTGCAGGAACTGTGTGGGGCTTCAGTGAGGAAGGGCTGAGCATCTCCTGAGCAGGTCTGGCCAGCAGGAAGATCAGTGAGCTGGATCTCACCTGGCCCTGGGCACACCGAGGGCTCTCGCCTTGCCTGGCGCACAGCCCCCTCTCCCTGTGAAAGGTGAGTGTTTGCTCTGCGGTCTGCACACACATATGTTGCATTTAAAACCAAAAATTTGGCTTGTTTTCCTCTGGAAATGGGTCTAGTGGAATTTATCAGTCCCTCTGGCTTCTTTATATCCCCCTTATTTTTGCCCCTAAATCCCTTCTTCTGCTGTTTTTCATCTGCTGCTTCTTCCCTCAGCCTGTCGCCGAGCCAAACCCATTTGAATGCATCCAAGGAAGGATCTGCCATTAGTGCTGCTCTGTCTCTCCTCTTAGTTAGGATATATTTAGCCATCATCTTTTAGCTTTTTTTCCTGGCTGTTCAGTGGCTTTAAAAAGCAGGTGCTGGGAACGGAAAGAGAAGATTAAAGTACCTGCTGTCAGCTTCCTCTCCCTGTGCAGCTGTGCAAAGCAAGCACGTGGGCAGAGTGGATAACAGCTGCCCCTTGAAAACCTCATTTGTAATTCTAATTATTCTTTTTTATTATTATTAGTAGTATTTCAATAATCTCTTTCTGCACTGCTACAAATTTCCAGAGCAGCTATTTCCTCCCGTGCCTCATGTGAACGTGGAGTGTTGGGAATCCATCAAACCGTGGTGAGGGATCCTTCATGGGATATCCATGGGCTGGGCAGGCACAGATGGAGCCAGGCTCACCTGCAGCCACATGGATATGGTGTCCCACAGCCATCCTGACTGTCCCTGTCCCATAAGCTGTGCCCATGGCTCAGACCCAGCTGCAATGTGGCTACTCAGGGGCCACTTGCAAATTCTTGGCTGCTGTCTCAGTTTTGGCAGCTTCCATGCTCCTCCCTGGCACCCTCACAGAATTTCTCAGGCTGGGAAAGACCTCTAAGATCATCAGGTCTAAGCCAAGCCCACCACCAAACCCTGTCCCCATTGCCACACTCCTGCCTGCACCAACCCCATCTCCTTGGCTTACTTCCCTCCTTAAACACATCCAGAGCTCATCAACAACTTGCAGGTGGAGGGAGGGGCTGTGCAACAGGAGCAGGGCCTTTAAACCTCCCATTTCTGCTCCTTTGCGGTCAGCACCTCCCTGATTTCATGGCAGGAGTGCCTTCAGGTTCGATCATCCCTGATTGCCACCTCTGTGGTTCCCCTCTCGTTTAGGAGGAATGGGGGACAGAGTCCTTGGGGAGCCTGCCTGCAGTGAGACCCCAAAACAGCACAGCTCAGCCTGGCTTTTCCCCTCTTTCATCTCCCTGCCTCCCCTTCCCAATCTCTTTGGGTATCTTCCCCTTATTCCACTCAAACTGTATAAAAACACAAAAATGCCTCTGCCAGAAACTCTCCTCAGAGCTTGGCTGAGCCCCCCTCTTTGCTTGGGGGGGCACATACACAAGGGCACTTTGCACCCTGTCACCAAACCCTTGTTTTTCCATTCCCCACCCCATTTGTGGGGCTGAAACCTTTGGTTTTTGTGTTTTCCAAAGCTGCTGGCATTTTGCAAACACTAACCCAGAAACACCAGCAGCAATCCCTGGGGCTGACGGGTGTGTGTTTTTTGCTGCTGGGGGTGAAGCCAGCCAGTGGCTGTACCCCCCAAATTCTGCTGAAGGGTGGCTGTGGGTGCCTTCTCAGCCCAGCCACCTCCCAGCCTGGACCTTCCTGGTGGGGATGAAACCCAGCCCTGTGGATGGGAGGTGGATTGGTGCTGGCAGGGCTCTGGGAAGGGAGCCTGGTTGCGACACAGATGAATTTTTTTGTATTCCAAAACAAGGGCTGATAATGGAGGGCACGGGGCCGGAGCCGCGGGAGGCTGCTAAGCTAAATGAGACAGGAAGCACGTAATTAAATTAGATACAGAGCAGCATGGAGACATCTGAGTACACACACGGGTCTGGGCTGAGAGGCTGTTGCATAACCCCGGGAAGAGCTGTGCAGTATGAAATCTCTCACCTAGAGCAGCCCGTGCTGGCCAGCTGCCTGGCCTTCAGCAGCCCCATGGAGGGGACAGGCAGAAAAGCTGCCCCAGGGAGCAGAGGGCTCCTCTCCTGGCTGTGGCACAGTGGGCACAGGGTCTGTCCCAGCCTTGGTGAGGGGACTTTGCTGGAACAGCCCAATCCTGCTCCCAGTCCAGGGCTCAGACCTGCACACATGGATCTGGCACTGCCCTGAGTCCAGAGCCAGCTCTGCAGCCAACACCTTTGTGCCTCTTCTGGCTGAGCTGCTGTGGTCCCCAAAAAGACACAGCCTTTGGCTGACCCCTTCCCTTCCTTAAGGGCTCTCTCTCCCACCATGGGCAGCTCCTCCCCTTTCCTTCACTGTCAGCTTGGCCTCACCTGAGCCCAGAGCTGCAAAAGCTGCCACAGGGGACAAGGTAAAGCCACACACACACACGTTTGTCCAATACACTTTATTTCTCTGGGGAAAAGCGGCAGGGAAACATGGCCTGAAGCCAAGAGAGGGGCTCAGCAGGCTGTAATCTCAAGGCAGAGATGTGCAGAGTTTCTCTGCTCTGGCTCACATCCCCCAGGCTCCTCACCAGTTGCAGTTGCTGCCATCCCAGCTGTGTTTTTGCCATAGTTACATTTGCTCCCAGCAGCACGTGGTTCCCAGCACAGTGGCTGTGCCAGGCTCCATGGAGTTGCAGCCAGAAATCATCTGTCCCGTGTGCCTGTGACACGTGTCCAGGCTCCTGGAGGTTTTCCTCTCGGCATGACCTGCTCAGACCATGCCTCAAACACCAGGGAGAGTTACCAGAGCATCCTGTGACTTTGCAGATCTGTGGCTGGGAGGATGGGCTGCAGTTCTAGAGGGGAAAGGGACAGAGGTGAACATTTCCACGGCATTTATGTGGAAAAAGCAGGGAGGAGATGGAGATGTAGGTGGTGAGGAGAAGGGGCATTGCCACCCTGAACGCTCTAGTCACCTGCTGCAGCTGGGAGGTGAGTGCCAAGCTGCTTTGGCATGATTTCCAGATCTCCTTTCCAACCCTGAGCATTCAGTGACTCAGTGGAAGAGCTGAGTGTGGGTGCCAGGAGCCCGTGCCCACCCCCACGTGCCACTGCTGCTGTGACACCAGTGCTCCCAGCATGGTGCTGAACTGGGGTGGAGCTCCAGGCTGGTGTGGCACTTCCAAAACCGATGCCAAGCACTGTGCCCGCTCTGGGTGTGCACAGACATCCTGTGGGTGTGCACAGACCTTCTCAGCAGCTGTACAGGCAAAGGCAACCTTCCAGCCCTCTCTCCTTTACTCTCCCATTTCTTCCCTGGAATCCACAGCAAGGATCACAGCTCTGATCTTGGTTTTAAGGCACAGAGAAGACATGAATAAGAGCTTGGTGTAGCTCCAGCCATTTATCTGTAACTGAATATCTGCTAGCCAAGAAGGCTTGATCATTTGAGTGAAAATCCCCAGAGCCATCAGGAAAGAGGCTGCTCTTACGTGAGGAGCTCAGAGTGAGTGTTCAGTCATTAGTCCTGATGTATCCTTCCTGTCTGTCCATGAGCAAGACCATTCTGGGGCTCCTTGTAAGTGATGAGAGAAAGACAGGACTCTCCTTTACTGCTCAGTGGGGCTGAGGTGCCTCATGCTCCTCCCAGTGTCTCCCACCCAGATATCCTCATGCTTCTGCTCCCAAAGGCAGCTTGAGAGGAGTCTTTCTCCCTGGCCCAGGGCCCAGATGGCTTTGTGCTGCCACTCTCCTGGCACAGCTCATCTCTCCTGGGAAAGATGCTCTGGCAAAGAGAAAGATGCTCTGGCAATGTGCAGAGGGTGATGAATGCAGGCAGCAAGTGTAGGAGACAACCTGAGCTCTGGAAAAACGTCTGAGCTGGGAATAGCAGGGAGCAAGGGAGAGGATGAGGAGTGGAAGTGGCAGCTGTGGCCTTGTGCTTGGCTGGCCATGAGCAGGGGGGTTAGGGTCACTCCCTTCCAGAGCTGCTGAGCTGGGGAATTGCAGGGAGGGCAGCTCTGGGATCCTGTGTGAGCCTGACCTCACCACGGGGCCTGTTGGTCCCTCATGGACCTCTGGCTCTTGTAGCACCAGACCCTGGGGTTTGCTGGTGTGCACTGGTTTAACCCTTTCTCTTTTGCTGGCTCAGTCCTTCCCCTCCAGTTTCCAACCTCTCCCTGGCTTTTAATCTCCTTTCAATTTCCAGGTCTCATCAGGATCCTCCATTATCAGATGCTTTCCCAGGTTTTGGCTCCTTTGATGTGCATCCCTTCCCTTCCCTCCTCTCACCACACACCCAGCAGGGAATTTGTGATGAAGAAGTGCAACTTCAGCCAGCACATGAAGCCAGACATTGTCCTTATATATTCCAGCTGTGAACTGGCAGTGCCATTAAGAAGGAAAGTGAAAACATGAAACCCTCCTACTCCATCTGCATCCCCCCAGGAAGCACAAACCCTGCTGACCCTGCTGCCACCCCCTGCTTTAACCACTGGGGCAGAGCGGGAAGTGCGGGGAGCTTTGGAAGCCCTGGGCCAGCGGGATGGAGCAGCAGGATGGAGCTGACGACTGTCGGCGAGGGCTGCAGCGTCTGTCCTGTCCCTCGCTCTCCCACCCGCCGGCGGTTCATCAGCAGGCTCCACACGTCGCTGGAAACGAGCCTGTTTTTTCCTGTTCCCGAGGAAGCGGCTATGACTGTGATGCTCAAGGACGAGCCTGGGCCTCCCACTCCCCCCTCCCTTAGCAGCGCACACAAACTTACCTAAGCTCTCATCTTCAGGGGCGCTGCCTGAGCAGCTTTTGGTTGGCTGGAGGCTGGAGTGATGCCGGGTCCCCCTCCCGCTCTCCCGCCTCCCAGCCGATATAAAGCGCGGCTCCGCGCCGCTGTCGCAGCCGCCAGCCCGGGACCGCGGGGCAGGAGGTGCCGCAGCCGCCTGTTGCACCCCCTGGCACCCCCGGGAGGAGCCGATGAGTTGCTGGATGCCTGGGTGCCCAGCTCTCAGCATGTGCCGGGGCTTAGCCGCGCTCCCCATCACTTGCCTGGAAAGGTAAGGCGCTTCTGGGCGGCAGAGGGGTCGCACCCGGACCGGCCTCTGCTGCTGCCGATGTGATGGTGGGCTAGAAAGCGGGCTGCACAAAACACGCGGCCGAATGGTTCCTTGTGGCTGCATCCCTTCTGCTCCCCAGGAGGGGAGCACGGAGGTGGAACAAGCGGAGGGGGAGAGAGGAGGCTGCCCAGGGCTGTACAAACACACCAGGGGTTTCTGGCTCTGCCTCTGCACAACTCGACAGCAGCAGGAGTATTTTTGTCAACACGGCCGAACTGTTAAGTGACATGTTGCTCCTCCTGCCAAGCCCCACGCTGCCGGCTTGACATTTAAACCCTGATTTTCGTACGGGCGCCTCGGGACGCCTGAACGAGCCGCGGGCACGCAAATAGCAGCTGGGCCACACGCCGCCTCGGGGACACCCTGGGGACAGACAGGAGCCGCTTCTCCTGCCCTGCTGCCGCAGACACCTCCCGGCAGGCAGGTGCCTTCTCCGCGCCTTGGCCGCGGAGCAGCGGGGACCGGCAGGAGCATCCCAGCCTCTGGCACAGGAGCACCCCAGCCCCTGGCACAGGAGCACCCCAGCCCCTGGCACAGGAGCATCCCTGCCTCTGGCACAGGAGCATCCCTGCCCCTGGCACAGGAGCATCCCTGCCCCTGGCACAGGCGCATCAGTGCTGCCTCTGCCTCCTGAAGCCATGGGGTAGGTGGATGGCGCTGCCCTCTCCACAGCCTGGTGACAGGCTCCTGGGAGCTCAGAGGCACCCCAAAAATTAGAGCAGGGGAGCAGCAGCCTGGCGGGCAGCAGGGAGATGCTCCCGCTGTGTCGACAGGAAGGAAATTGCTGTGTTTTTCCAGCGGAGAGCTGCCGGGAGAGTGGGATGGGAAAAGGAACCAGGAGCTGGGTGGGGGTGCTCCAGCAGCTTTTACCTGCCCCAGAGGAAAGAGCTCATCGTGCTTTATATTCCATGTGTCTCTGCCTGGGAAGCGAGCAGGAGAAAACGGTCCCCCAGGCTTAATGCGCGGTTGCCAGGGAGCAGGAAAAGCAGGCGGGGAGCATTTATTTCACACACCAGAGAGCCAAGAAGTGGCTGAAGCTGGGCAGCGAGGGCTGTGCCCCTGCCAGTGGAGGGGTTGGGGGCAGCAGACTGATGGTGCAGAGATCCCATCTCGCCCCTCCCTCCCTTCCTTCCAGAGCCAAGGATCTGAAGACCCGCTTGGGCATCCTGCTTCATAAACCCGAGCTGGGACACAAGAGTGGGAGCTCCAGCAAGCTGCAGCTGGGCTCGAGGCACAGGTAAGCCAAGCCCAGCTCTGCCCCAGGTCCAGCCCGGGCCAAGCCCCCATGGAGCAGCCGTTCCTGAGGGATGCTGCAGCCCATCTGTGCAGCACAGAGCACAGCTCCCCCTCCACGAAGTCCCACCCAGGCGGGCCGGGAAGGCGGATCACTCCCCTGCTCCAGCGGCTATAAAATCCGGCAGGGGAACGGATGCTCTGGCATTAGGCACAGAGAGCAGGGCCCTGGCGAGAGGCAGGCAAGCCGCAGGGCTCCTGCTCTTCCTGGTGTCTCACACCAGTGGCTGGGATCCCCGGGGAATGCAGGCAGCATTAAACATAGAACACTAAATATTGCTGCTGAGGGCAGGGGGTCTTCTGCAGAGGAGGCTCTGCTGGGCCAGCAGAAAAGGGCTTTTCTGAGCATCCCCTAAAGAACCTCCTGGCCAGCAGCATGGAGAGGAGGTCGGGTGAGCCTTCAGGGAAGGTGAAAGAAAGGGAGGAGAGAGGAAAGAGAGCCCACAGGTAATGGATATTGGCCCCCGGCTTTGGTTTCCTGCCGAATGCCTCCGTGTCCCATTGATGGAGCTGCTCAACTGAAGTGCTCCCATCCCTCACTGCTGGACAGAGAGCCTCACATCCTTTTTGTCTTTTCCAGAGACTCCTCCCAAGAGGTGCTGGAATGGAGGGAGTCCTTTGACCAGCTCCTCAAGAGCAAAAGTGAGTAGAATCTTGTTTTCTTCTCTTGGTGAGAGTGTGTAGGACAAATGTACTCATAGTGAGCTGTATGACTGGAGTCAGTGTGTGATGAAATCTCGCCTCCTCCTCAGATGAGGTGTTTCAGGACTTAGAAAGAGGTCCCTTTCCTGCCCAGATCTGAGGCACAGGGCTCATTGCCTGCCCCATGAGGCTGTACCCTTCCCTCCTGGCTGGGATTTTTTGGGGGACAGAAGTGCTGTCTTGCCTTGGCACAGGAGCACTGTCACGGGCACCCCCTGAGGAGCAGCTCGCCAGGGGGAACATCATGGTATTCCCATGGCACCCCTTTCTCCACACTGGGGAGAAGGCAGTGTCTGCTCTCCGTGTCTGGTGGGAACAGGCATGCAGCCACCTCCCCTCAGGCTTGTTCAGACAACTGCATTGCTGCCCTCTGCCTGTCTGTCCTGTGCCTCCGGGGATGGCTCTTGCACAGGGAGCAGGAATTCAGCTGTTTGATTGAACAACCTTGCCCTTTTCCCACTCTGATATCAGCTGTGTGTCTGTGATGCACAGGGCTCCTGTGAGATGCTGTCTCCCTCTCCCTATGCAGGCAGCTCCTCCAGACCCAGAGATGGGACCTCTTTTTTAGTCACACATATCATCCCCTCTTTACGCTGGGCTCTGCACAATGGCAGTCTCCAAAAACAGTTTTGACAATTACAGAGATGATAACTCAAATTATAACGAGAGCCAAAACGAGATTGCTAACTATAACAAGCCAAGACCTTGTAATTGTCTATTTACCTTTAATAAAAGATTACCTTGATTGAGCTTTGCAAAATTCAAATGGCAGAAGCACCAAATTTTAATCCAAAAGTAGTTGTCTACCTTAAAAGCTCTTCCCCAGCCAGACAAAGTCCTTCCACAGCGCTAGTCTGGGGCCAAGTGTATTTTTTTTCCCTGTCTCCCTCACGTGCTGTGATGGCTAATGAGCATCTCTAGCTTTGTAACTTAATCCACCCTCCCAGCACAGCTTTGAAATCCTTGCTGCAATTACTCTCCCGTCCTCAGCATCTCGTTCCCCCCCAGATGTGGGCTGAGAAATCAAAATCAAGGCACGGCTGCTCGGCTCCTGCAGCGTTCCGATGCGTCAGCGCGCTTCTCCTTAGGTAGAATTAGCTCTTTTCCGAAGCTGTAAAGAAAATACTCTGAAGCCTCATTACAGAAAGGTCAGATAAATAAAACCAGAGGATTACTTGTCTGTGGGAAAGGATTTTATTGGAGTCTAGAGGCCAATTAGTGGTGTCTCAGAGGGTGGAATTTGCCCAGAAGGAAAGGAAATCTGCCGATGTCACGGTCTGAGCTCCCAGGGCAACGCTCGCCAGGCGGTGTCTGCTGCTGGTCCTCTTCCTGCCCACCTCCCTTCCCATTAACTGCTCTTTTCTCCCCTCCATAGGTGGGGTAAATGCATTCCACACCTTCCTGAAGACCGAATTCAGTGAGGAGAACCTCGACTTCTGGCTGGCATGCGAGGACTTCAAAAAGACCCGGTCGAAAACCAAGCTGGCCTCCAAAGCCAACAGGATCTTCGAGGAGTTTGTCCAAAGTGAGGCACCCAGGGAGGTGAGACCATTTTCTGTCACATCAAATAGGGCAGGAAAGGAATAAAATATCCTGGTGGGTTTTATGAAAGTGCTGTTGGATCAGTGGGAAGGAGTACTCTTGTTCATGAGAGATTTAATTTTTAACACCGTGCGGTCCATCACATAATGTTGGAAGAGAAATTGAGTCTAACTGTGAAGTGTAGCAGACACAGGGCATGCAAGGCCTCCCTGGTGGTCAGTTGTCTAAGATAAGAAATGCCTAGTTATGATGACTGGACCTAAGAAGCCCCTCTTCCACCTTTAGACCCTTGTTATCTCTCTGTAAGATGAGGGACACCCACAGCAGCCGTTTTCGGGGAGACTCCGAAAACCCTGGAGCCACATTAGTGAAGGGACAGAAAGGTTTGTGAGTGTTACAGATGGATAATGAGATGATTGGCTATCGCAATTAAAAGACAACTATTGTGTGAATATTAAGAAAAGCTTTAGTAATTTATAGTTATGTTGTTGTAGTTGAGGTGTCCTCTGTTCTCCCCATGGTTCCCTTTCCCCCCACCCCCGTATTGCATCCATCAGATAGCCGGGGTTGTCTAAGGCAGGAAAAAAGAAGGTGTGCACATGTGCCCCTTACCTGGGGCAGTTGGGAATGGAAAAGCTTTGTTGCTTAGGGGGTGAGGCATGGCAACACCTCACCTCCAATCAAGTTGCAAGAAAGCAATCTCCACCGATAAATAGCAAAGAAGAGCTGACTGACAGACTTTGGGAGGGGCCAGGGCTGGCTGATGCAACCCCCAGGGGTACAAAGGACTGAGCATCCATCTTGAGGATGAACTGGCCACGTGGAATGCGCGAGGGGCAGCTCCCAGTGCTGCGAATTTTTCCTTATGTAGTCCTTTGTTGTATTTTTGTTAAGGTTTAATAAACCCTTTAAATGTCCAAAGTGAGCAGTTGTCTCTCACAGTGAGCATCTTCACCCTCATCTGAAGACAAATTAAAACCAGGTTTCGTCCTCACATAGAAGAGGAACTAACATTTGTGGGCGCTGCTGCCTTGCAGGTGAACATCGACCACGAGACCAGGGAGATCACCCGCAAGAACCTCTCGGGGGCCACCTCCGCCTGCTTCAACGAGGCGCAGGCCAAGACGCGCACGCTGATGGAGAAGGACTCCTACCCGCGCTTCCTGAAATCCGCCTCCTACCAGGACATGACCAAGCAGGCCGCCAGCCGCGGCTCCAGCAAGCGCTCGCACACCTGACCCGGGCCGGCCAG